CAGTTTCAGACTTCCTTTATGCCAACATAAACATACATTTGTATATATTTATAATGCAGGATAATACTATACACACTGTCCCATGAGTCTTTTAATATTCCAGGGGCAATTTCCCACTTAAATATATAAAGACGCTTAAGTGCGCACGTTTAGCTTCAGCGGCCTAGGGTTCAACGGTTCGGATCCAGGGTGCGGACATGGCACTGCTTGGCAAGCCATGCTGTGGCAGACGTCCCACATATAAAGTAGAGGAAGAGGGGCACGGATGTAAGCTCAGGGCCAGGCTTCCTCAGCAAAAAGAGGAGGATTGGCAGCAGTTAGGTCAGGGCTAATCTTCCTCAAAAAATATATATATATAAGATGCAATTTATCCTTCTTATTACATATATAGTACTCCACCATGTGGACAGACTACACCTTATTTAACCAGTGTACAGCTGTCAAGATCGGGGGCTTTAGAATCCAACTCCAAAATTTAATCCCAGCTCTGCCACTTCCTAGTTATGTGACCTGGAGCAAGTTCATTAATGTATGAGTGTCGCAGTTTCCTGGGAAGAATAATGGTATTTGCATAATAGGATTTGCAGTTTACACTTTGAAGTCTCACTTCCCAAGGTCTTTAAACTACAGCCCAGATTAAAAGCCCCCTGACTCACAGCCATTTGAAGAACAGTGAGGAAAAATAGAGCTTGGAGGAGGGAAGATGGCGCCTGGAGGAGTTTGCAGCTTTAAATAGGGAGGTCAGGGGAGACCCTACAGAGAAGATAACGTTTGTACAAAGACCTGAAGGAGGTCAGGAAATGAGACAGGCAGACAGCTGGGGCAAGAGAATTCTAGGGAGAGCAAAGGCCCTGAGGCAGGAGCATGCATGGTGCATTGAAGGAAGGACAAAAAGCCCAGTGTCCTAGAGTGAATTAAGGGAGGAGGGGAGCAAGCGAGATCAGGTCAGATGGTACAGGGTCTTGCAGAGAAAGGGGATCCACGGGAAGTTCTGAACTAAGGAGTAATGTGACACAACTTAGGTTTTGAAAACATCACTCTGGGTGACTTTTCAAAAACAAACATTAAAGAGTTAAGACAAAAGTAGGGAGACTGAAGCTACTGCAATAATCCAGTTGAGAAATGATGGTTCTAGTGGACCAGGGAGGTAGTACGAGGTTATGAATATATATATATATGAAAAACATTTAAATATATATGTTGAATGAAAAGATACCAGTATTTGCTGATAGAGTGTAGGGTATGAGAAAAAGAGTGAAGTCAAGGACGACACCAATGCTTTGCAGCCAGAAAAAATGGAAGGATTGAGGTGACATTTTTGGGATGGGAAATTGTATGGGCAGCATGTTTGGGGAGTCTGAATTTAGACATGTGAAGCTGGAGACACCTGTTATACATGCGAGTAGAGATGGCCAGTAAACAGTTGGAAATTTATAATGTGGAGTCCAGGGGAGGGATCACATCTGTGAGTCCCTTTTGCCACATAAGATCATAAAGTCACAGGTTCTGAGGATTAGCGCGTGGCCATAACATCATAGAGAACGAGTGCAGCTAGTGAAGAGAGGTGGTCTGGGTATGAACCCTGGGAATTTCAAGACTTAGAGGTTGGAGAGATTGAAAAGAAATTGATAAAGGAAACTAAGGGGCAACTACTGAGGAGGAGGAAACAATGACGAGTGGGGAACGCAAGGTGAAGACAGTGTTTCAAGGAAGTATAGGTCCATTGCTGCTGAGAGGTCACAGGAGATGAAGATTGAGAATCTACCACTGGATTCAACAACCTGGAGTTTCCCGATAACCTGGACAAGAGCAGATTCAATGGAGTGGTGGGGTCATGCATGAAAAGAGAGAATTTGAAGAAGAGATTTCTTCAAATAAGTATACAAATGGTCAATACGCACAGGAAAAGATGTTCAACATCATTAATAAAGAAATACAACTCATAACCACAATGAAATACAACTTCACCCACATTAGGATAGCTACAATCAAAAGATATTAAGAGTTGGAGAGGATGTGGAGAAATCCTCATAGATTGTTGGCTCAAACATAAAAGGGTGCAGCTGCAAGTGGAAGATAGGAATAAAAGAATGAGAGGAGGATGGAATACAAGAAGCATTATGAAGGATAACCCAATGGAAGACAGGAACTGGTTGGATGTCTGGGATGAGGAAGAAGAAGGCAAAATGAGTGAAATGATCCCCTGTGGAACCAAATCATGCCTACATCACTTACCATCCGGAGAACATGTGAGAGGTACTTAACGTCTCTGCATTTTATTGTTCCATCTGTACAATGGGGATTTCTGCCTCATAGAATTGTTGAAGGTCTAAATGAGAAATTTATTTAAAACCTGTTGAATGGAGTCATGAATAATAATGCTAAAGGTAGCTGGTCTGAAGATGGGGATGCTAAAATGCACAAAAAAACTCTCAAAAGACTCAAGAGAGAGAAGCATCTCTTCACCTCATCAGCACCAGAGTGCAAGTTCGCACATTCCATGTCTCCTGCCCACCAAGGCCCCACTGTCCACTTAAGTGACACCTTCTCTTTCAACCATCAACTGCTCCATCCATCACCAGGATGAGCTCATCCCAAGTTGGGGCACCTGAGTTAGAAGACCAGGGTCCTTGGGAGAGGAACAAATAAAGGATATTCCCATTGGAATATTCCAGGATTCCACGTTCTTCAGTGACCATATGGTAAAGGGTAAGATGTGAATGCTGGAATCATCCAGTGTTGGATCTAAGGCTTTGCTCTGCTATCAACCAGTTTGGGACATTATTTATATGTCCTGAAAAATGGGTATAATAATACCTACCCTAGAGAGTTCTTGAAAGAATTAGAAGAAATAATATTTGTAAAATTCCTGTGACAAAAATGTCAGCCCTGGTGGTCTAGTGGTTAAGATTCAGCACTCTCACTACCACAGCTCAGGTTTGTTTTCCAGTCAGGCAACCACACCACCTATCTGTCGGCTGTCATATTGTGGCAGGTACATGTTGCCGTGATGCTGAAAGCTAGGCCATTAGTATTTCAAATTGCAGCAAGGTCACCCATGGTGAGCAAGTTTCAGTGGGTCTTCCAGACTAACACAGACTAGGAAGAAGGACCTGGCCACCCACTCACAAAGAAAATGGCCGTGAAAATCCGATGAAGAGCAGTGGAGCATTGCCTGATACAGCACCACAAGATGAGAGGATGGTGTAAAAAAGACCAGGCAGAGATCCACTCTGCCGCACATGAGGCCTCTAGGAGTCAGAATTGGCTCAGTGGCACTAACAACAAAGGACAAAATCTGGTTCATTACAGGCTTTGAAAGCCCTGCTCCCTTCTTTTTTTTTTTTTTAATTCCTTGCTTTAGTGTGATTGGAAGAGTCAATGCGGGGGTCACTGCTCCTGGGCTGATGGAAATTGACGCCTAGCCATAACCAGTCACCTGGGATGCCAGTGAGGAGATGACATCTTTTTCTCTCTCAGCTTCCTGCTCAGCCTGAGGGAAAAGAGGTCAGAAACAGCCTTATTATGGATCCCCATACTCTTCCCTTATCCATGCCCCATCCAGCAGGCTCCTAGCATTGCTTCATAATGCTCAAGCCTGTAGCTCAGAACTTGCTTTGAGGTCAGGGATGAAGCAGCTGAGCTGAGCTGACTGGGAGGGGAACCAAGAGACCCAGGAATCTAGGCCGGGAGATGAGATACCAGAGTTCATAGTACCAGTAAGTCTATCTCTGACCGAAAATCTTGGATCCACGGAAGGAGGCAGAAGCTTTGAGGAGGTGAGTACCCCCATGGAGGAGAGAAGCTCCTGCACACCACAGTGCAGGCTGCATCAGGTCCTCAGGCAATGTGAGGCTGCAGGTGGGGTGAGGAAGACCCGACTTCAGATTTCTGGGCCAGGGAGAGTCATGAGAGGTCATCAGCAGGGTCATGGGAGGTCATCATGTCCATCCTTGCTTCCACGTGGACCCAGCACCAGAAAGACCTGCAGCAGCCTCTGTGCTCTTGGTCTCAGTCTGCTGAGCTCCCGTGGGAGGAATCGGCCCAGACCCTTCACAGAGACAGGTACTTGTCTTCTTGGTCCTGGCCTCCTACAGCCCCAACACCCTCCTGAGGGAGCCCCAGGTTAGTCCAGCAGAGAAGACTCATGACTAATCCAGGACAGACTGTGGCAGTGGCCTTAGTTACATCCAAAGCATTTGAAAATGTCAGACATGGGAGAGACCATTTCCAAACCTTTGGGACCAGACAGGATCCATGCAACACGTGACTTGGAAGGAGGCTTCAGGGAGGATGGTAGTATTTCAACAGGCAGGGATGGGAGCAAGGAACGGGGAGAGGGAACTGTCATTCTAGACAGAGGGATATGAATGAGCAAAGAGGGGCTGAGCTAGGCACTGAGGCCAGCATGGTTGTGGGCAGCTGAGGGTCAGCAGAAGAGTCTGGAGACGGCTGGTCCCACAAGCTTCACACCCCACAACAGCCCCACCAAGGAGGGTGGGAGGTCACTGCACATCCATTCCAAGCACCCAGTGCCCCTATCCAAGGTAGGAGAAGAGATGAAGCTGTTTTCCTAAGAGGGCAATTCCCAACTTTGGGCCTCTGGAGCGATTTTCTGACAAACAGAAGAATTGAAAGGGCCTGAAACAGTACCACTTCCTCTTCTCACTCCATAAGACAGTGGGTTTGGGACCCATGGGCTGACACTGAGGCCAAGGTCCAGGTTAGCACATGTGGCCAAGAACAAGGGCTCTGGCCAGTATGTAACGAACACTAGACACTCCCCTCAACACACACACACACACACACACACACACACACACACACACACTGCCCAACACCCCCAAGGGAGCCCTCCACAAGGTGCAAAGGAAGCCTCGGGCCAGTCCCTTTGTGGGCTCCCACCCACCCGTGCTGCTTCCATTAATCCCGAACTCAGCCTCCAGCACCAAGGGCCTCACTGCCTCCTTTGTGGCGTGGTCAACACATCTACACAGTCCCCAAACTTGTGCTCATGTTCTCAAAAAGACACAGAGCAGAGGTTGTGGGGATTAACACAAGCACAATCAGGAGGGTCTCCTTTGGGGAATCTTCAGGAGGAGAGGGGTCAGGAGCCAAGTCAATGACAGGGAAAGAGCACTTGTCCTGCAGGAGTGAGGGTCCTGAGTGGGAGGGCAGCTTAGGGAGGTGTCAGAGGACATGACAGGGCTACACGAGCCTAGGGATTTGAAGACATGAGGGTCAGAGCAATGTGGACCAGAAGCCGCTGGAGCTGGACCAGAGCTGGAAGAGGCAGGTGTCTGCAGGGATCAAGCTCAGTGTGGAGGTGTCCTAGGAATGCTGATTCTCCTGTTTTCTCTTTATCTTCATGGCTTGGCCTGGCCTGGCTTCTGAACCTCACTGTAGACAGCAGTGAGATCTTCCTTTTCTTGCAGACGTCGTTCACCCATACCCTAGGAATGTGAGACAGAAGATTCAGAGAACAGCTGAGGGATAGAGAGGTCCCAGAGGGACCCACATGGAACCAATGCTGCTGACATGAGCTACATGGGAATTCCCTCAGAGTGCCCAGCGCTACACTGGCCCCAGTTGTAAATTTTCTTAGTACATACCATTGGCTATCAGGAAGGAGTTAGAGACAGAAGGGCCGGAAATGCTCAGACTCAGCCACAGAGGGTGGGAAAGCCCAAGTGGGCTCTGCTTCCAGCTCTCACCTTGTCCCTGCCCCCTCGAGACTCCTGCAGGCTCAGCTCTGCATACTGGATGTCATCATCCTGGTTCCTGTGTTCCTCCTGCAGTCCTGCACCTGAATCACACATAGATTGGAGCTGGAATCTGGGCTTTGGAAACCTGTACCCTCCCGCACTGCTATGAAGCTCAAGGGCATTCCCTGAGTAGCAAAATGCAGGAGGAAGGGAGCCAGGGGTCAAGTGGGGCAGGGGAGGTATGTGGGCCAGAAAGAAATTAACCTGCCTCTTCCAATCTCCATCTTCTTCTTCTTCTCATGTGTCTTCCAAAGGTACAGTCCAACACCGAGGATCAATGGCACAGCCACGATGGGCCCTAGGATGGCTTTGAGGGTGCCTGTTGAGGCCTGTCCCTGTGAATCTGTTCCCCTCAAGCAGAAAGAATGAAGAAGGTTAAGGCACAAGAGAACTTAGATACCCAATGCTAAGGAGAGATAGAGAGAGCAGGTAGAGAAGTCTGAGGGTCCTGGATCAGAAGGCAAAGAGGCAGGAGCACAGAGATTCATTCATTCAACCAGTTCCCGAGCTCCTGCTTGCTGCCTGGGATATTGAGATGGACAAGACTTGGTCCACACCCTTGGAGCTGACACCCAGCAGGGAAGACTGAGAGAATAACAAAGTCTGCCAGCCAGAGGGATCGCAGTGCAATAGAGGTTTACACCTTGTACACAGGTCTTCAGGGAAGGCTTCCCAGAGGAGGTGATGGGTAACCTGAGTCTTGAGGGAGGAATAGGAGTTTACCAGATATTCAGCATTCCAGGAAGGAGGAGCACCACGTTCAGGATATGACTATGTCAAAAAGCCAGCCCCCGGGAGTCCCCAGCACCCCACTGGGGCAGGCAGGAGAGGACAGGGCAGGAAGGAGCTAGGCAAGAAAGTTCAGAGGGAAGCAAGGGTCTGCTCTCAGAGGATCTAGTGGGTGACGCTGAGTGTTGAACTTTATCTGAGGGCCCTACACGGGGGTGAGGGGAGGGTCAAAGGGGGTTTCTGTGATGCTGACACATCAGATCCCTCCAGCAGCTCATGGAGGGTAAGTTAGAGGGGCATGGCTGCACTCAGTGGTACCAGGTCATCCATTCATTCAACGGAAGATCCTGAACAAACTGTGCCAGAAGCTGTGCTTGGCACAGGGATTCAGGGGAGAGGACAGGCCCCTGCCTTCAAGGTGCTCCAGGCTACGGAGGAGACAGGTACAAGACAGAGCATTGCCGCTCAGTGGGGGTCCAGAGACCCTCCTTAAAGGTGAGCCTGAGGCAGGATGGCTACAGGCACTGCAAGGCCCTGGGCAAAATGAGAATGAGGAGCCCTGTGTTCAAAGACTGCTAGAAATTTCAAGATGGCCACCACAGAGCTTTAAACCCAGCACACAGCTCTGTGTGACAACATGGCACACATGCTACTGAACTCAGCCGTGCCTGAGGGAAATCCTCCAATAGCAATAAGGCAACAGGGATTGGCCCGGTGGCTCAGTGGTTAAGTTCACACATTCCGCTTCTCAGCGGCCCGGGGGTCGCCAGTTCAGATCCTGGGGGAGAGATGACACCGCTTGGCAAAAATCCATGCTGTGGTAGAGGTCCCACATATAAAAAAGTGGAGGAAGATGAGCATGGATGTTAGCTCACAGCCAGTCTTCCTTGGCAAAAAGAGAAGGATTGGTAATAGTTAGCTCAGGGCTGATTTTCCTCAAAAAAACGGAAAAAAAAGAATAAGGCAAGAAATGAAGGAAAAGGTAGGAGGAATGATGGTAGACGAAACAGCACATCCAGAGGCTCTAATTTTGCAGAAGGCATTCGGGACTCCAAGCAAGCAGGTGGTGTGAGTGTCAGTGACCAAAACATGGGCACAGGAGCGTCAGAACCCTGAATCCTACAGGGAGTCCCTGGAGGTCAAACCCTTCAGGCAACACAGACAAGTGACACAATCCAGGTTCTTTCCCGAAGACCACTCTGCATTCACTGTGGAGTAAGGGTGCGGTGGGAGAGGTGCTAGACAGCTGCTGCACACCAGTAGGGGCAAGAGGTGAGAGGCACAGACGTGAGAGTCATTTAAGAGCAGAAACAAGTTGGATGTGCCCCCCAGACTCCTGTAGGGGGTGACCAGGTGGGCATGGTGCTGATAAACATGGTGGGGAGAAAAGCCCAGAATCCTCAGACCCCAGAGCTCCCTGAGCTCCGACAGTGCCCCTCCCCTCCAGCAGGTTGTACTCACCATGGGCACAGAATTCCCCAAGAAATGTGGTGACAGTTTTCCGGTCCTCGGAGTTGCTGACCACACAGGTGAGGCTGGCATTGGGTGGGCTCAGAGGCAGGCTCACAGCCAGGGTCCAGGAGTTGCGGGCTGGTTCCAGCTCCCTTGAGAGGTCCTTGCTTTCCCAGGTCACATTCAGGTCCTCTGTGACCCCTGCAGCCCTGCACTCCAGGGTGATGTTGCACCAGCCTTCTGTGGTAGACACTGACTTGGCCAGGATCTGGGGAAGGGGCACAGGCTCTAGGGTGGGAGGGACAAGAAATGGAGCCTCACATGAGTGGAAAACACTACAATTTGCACATTCTCATCCACTATCTCACTGAAGCTCTGTCTTCCTCCCTCTAAGAAGGGGAGACATTTTATAGACGAAATAGTATTTACCCAAAGCTAAATATGTTGCAAGAGACAAGAAGGAAGGGAGCCACTGAGTTAAGCCTTATGTGACTGCACTAGACTGAGAAAGTCTTAAAATCTCCCACAAGAAAATAAAGCCAGCACTCCACCCACCCAAGGCCCAGTATTTTTAGAAATTGGGTCTTTCCTAGGAGAAGTCGGGAATGAAGGACTTGTCCTGATCCAGGACCTTCGCCCTGCTTCTGCTGAGATGATGCCTGAACGATAAACCCAGAGTGAAGAAGGACGTCTGGCCAGCTCTGAGAGCCCAGAGAAGTCCCCATGCTCTCCAAAGTGGAGACATTTGTGGGAGATGCTGTGGTAATGATTAGGGATGACAATCCCAAGCGTGATTAGAATGTGCCACTGGACTTGTGGGTACACAGAGAAGGAGAAGTGACAGGTTTTCCAGACAGTCATAGAAATCACATGGAGACATAAAGCTGTCAAAGCCACTCTCTGTAGGAGGGTATTTCTCTATGCAGAGGAGCTGTAGGGTAAGAAAGAGGTGCTAAATGAGGTCTTCAGAAGTGGGGCAGGCTAGACTTTCTCCTACATCTATGGAGGCTCTTAGGGCTGGATTTCGTAAGCGAGGCTGGCCTCTGGCTAGGGTTGAGAAAAAGCAGAGGGAATAAGGAGGATGAACTACACGTGATTTCTGAATTACGGCAGGCAGAACAGTGCCCCCCGCCCAAAGATGTCCACATCCTAATCCTCAGAACCTGTGAATGTGTTAGGTTAATGGCAAAGGGAAATTAAGGTAGTAGATAGAATTAAGGTTGCTAATCAGCTGACATTAAAATAGGGAGATTATTCTGGATTATCTGCATGGGACCTATGTAATCACAAGGGTTCTTAAGAGTGGAAGAAGGAAGGAGAGGCGTCAGAGGGATGCAGCGTAAGGAGGACTCGTCCCGCCATTGCTGCCTTTGAAGACAGAGGAATGTGGCCAAGAGCTAGGAATGCAGGCAGCCACCAGGAGGTGGAAAAGATAAGAAAATGTTTTTTCCCATGGCTCCTGCAGAAAGGAACACAGCCCTGCCAACTCCTTCACTTTAGTCCAGTGAGACCCGTGTCTGACTCCTGACCTACACACAGCAGAGTAAGGGAACACAGTTGTGTGGATTTAGCCCGCTACGTTTGTAGTACAGCAGTCCCTCCTCAACCATGGTTTCACTTTCCCAGGTTTCCGTTAGCCACGGTCAACCACACACCAAAAACATTAAATGAGAAATTCCTGAAATCAATGAGTCATGTTTTAAATTGCAAAGTGTTCTGAGTAACGTGTTGAAATCTCACGGCATCCTGCTCTATCCTGCCTGGGACATGAATCATCCCTTTCTCCAGCATGTCCACACTGTATACACTACCCATCCGTGAGTCACTTAGTAGCTGGTTTATCAGATCTACTGTGATGGTGTCTCAGTGCTTGTGTTCAAGTAACCTTCATTTTACTTAATGATGATCCCAAAGATCAAGAGTAGTGACGGTCGGATATGCCAAAGAGAAGCCATAAAGTGATTCTTTTAAGTGAAAAGGTGAATGTTCTTGACTTAATAAGGAAAGAAAAAAATCATATGCTGAAGTTGCGAAGATCTATGGTAACTTTTATTACAGTATAGTGTTATCATCGTTCTATTTTATTATTAGTTACTGTTCATCTCTTACTGTGCCTAATTTATAAATGCAGCTTTATCATAGGTATGTGTGTATAGGAAAAACATACTATACATGCAGTTTGGTACTATCCACAGTTTCAAGCATCCACTGGAGGTCTTGAAATGTATCCTCCACAGATAAGGGGGGGCCACTATAATTTGTTATAGCAGGAATAGAAAACTAATACATAAATTAAGTCAACTGAATCCTCTAAAGAACAATCAGTGTTACGGCAAAAATTCCATTTCCCCCATAATTCTATTTTCGTCTCCCAAAACACTGAAGTGATTCTTTCCCTGGCGTGAATCTCAGCTCTGCTCTCCATTTGTGCTGAACCCACTTATCGTAATTTCAATGGAGCAAATAGAGCCTGAAGGCTGCTGTCAAGAAGGAGTCCTGCAAAATGGTGCCCACGTGACACTCCTAGGCACAAAAGAAGGCTGTAGCCATGGGATTGAGGTGAGGGGGTGTCACGTACCATACACAGTGAGGTCGAAAATCTGGTTAGATTCCATTCCCCCAGGTAAGTTGGCTCGAGCCTGGTACTGCCCACTGTCCTCACGGGTCAAGTTCTCAATCCTCAGGGATGTCAGGTTGGGCACATGGACCCTCTGCATGTACTTGTCCTGGAGGCTGACCCAGGTTGGAGTCCCTTCTGACCCTTTATGGACTTGCAGCATGACTCTGTGTTTAACGGCGGGGCCAAAGGCCCAAACGATCTCCTCCAGCTCACTTCCTGGCTCCTTGATCAGATGAAACCACACAGAACCTCCTCGGATCCTCTTCAGAGAAATGTAGGATCCAGAATCCTGAACTCCAGCGCCATGTGCTCCAGAACTCTTGACCCCAGTGCTGCAGACACCTAGGGCATTGGAATCAGGAAGGTGAGTGTTCTTTGATCAAGAATAACAGAGAGAATCACAGACCCCATCTTTTTTGTGTGTTTGGTAAAGAAGATTGGCCCTGAACTAACATCAGTGCCAATCTTGCTCTATTTTGTATGTGGCATGCTGCCAAAGCATGGCTTGATGAGCAGTGTGTAGGTCTTCACCAAGGCTCTGAACCCGTGAGCCCTCGCATGCCAAAGCAGAATGCACAAACTTAAGCACTACGCCAGCAGGCCCAAACTTGGACGCATCTTTTTAATAAAATCCATCCAACACACTCCCTTGATTCTTGAAAGGCAGCCTAGTACAAAGAATTTGAAGCAATTCTGGAATCAAGTCCTGGTTCTAGTGGAGTGTAACCTTGAACAGGTTACATAAACTTGCTAACCTGCAGTCAGGTTCCCTACCTGCCTCAAAAAGATAGTATGAATTAAATGAGCTCAAGGATCAAAAGCACCAGCACATTTTCTGACACATACAGAGTGTGTATCTGTACGAAGCAGCTTCCAAAGTGACTCCAAAGAGCCCTCCCTCCTCAGGTTTACACCCTTGGATCCATCTCCCCTGGAGTGTGGTCTGACCTGGTGACTTGCTTCTAAGGAACAGGATACAGCAAAGGTGATGGGATGTCACCTAGCGATGTGAGGTTATACACGACTGTGACCCATCTTGCTCGCACTCTCTCTCTCCCTCAGTCTGATGAAGCCAGCTGCCATGTTGTCAGCTGCCCTGTGGAGAGGCCCACACAGCGAGGAACTGAGGGCAGCCTCGAGCCAACAGCCAGTGAGGAACTGAGGCACTCAGTCCAACAGCCACAGGAACTGCATCTCATCAGCAATCACACGAGTGAGCTTGGAAGCAGATTCTTCCCAGCTGAGCCTTGAGCTGACTGCAGCCCCCATCAAGGTCTTGATTTCAGTCTCAGAGACCCTGAGCCACAGGGACAGCTAAACCACCCCTGGATCCTGACCCACAGAAGCTGTGAGACTGTACAGGGTATTGTTTTAAGGCACAAGTTTTCGAGTAACAGGTTACACAGCAATGAATAACTAATACAATGACAAGGTTGCTCTCCCTTCCCCAAAACCAGGTGGGCAGTGCTCGTTCAGTCTTCTTTTCAAGAGGAGAAGCACAAGAAGCCCAGACTGGAGTTGATTCCTCCAGCTCAGACATGGTGGTACCAGGTCAGCCCTCTCTTCCACAGGACAGCTGCTGAAGCTGGCAGGTCCCCTCTGAGATTCAGGCCAGGGGTGCCTGGTTCCTACCCACTCTGTCTCCAGGAGTAGCTTCTTGGTCTGTCTCCATCCCTCATCCGTGGGGAGCTCCAGGCTCCCCTGGCTTCACTGTTATTGCAGCAGAAGTGGCCTTGCCTCTCTGGTAATGGTCCCCTTAAGGCAGCACTGCTGGGACCTCAGGGTTCCCAGCCTCCACGCAACCAAAAAGCCATTTGTTCTTTCTGTTCACCCATGGACAGTACATTTGCTAAATTATAAGAGTTGTTTTGTCTTTTGTTCACCAAAGACAGCAGACAGAGGAGGGAGACCCTGCCCCCCTGTTCCACCCCGCTGCCCTCCCTCCCAGGAGCCCGGACCACTCACTGAGGAGGAGGCTGCTGAAGCCGAGGAGCCAGGAGGCCCTGCAGACGGGGGTGTCTTCTGAGCAGGGCCCCATCGCAGGCTGCCTGCCAGCCTGTTCCGCTGCAGAGGAGACATCCAGGAGGCAGAGGAAAAGCTTCACTCAGACAAGCCCTTTAAGCTCTTCCCCACCCCAAGGGCGGAGCTAAATATTAGTTCTGGGATCGCAGCCCAATAGTTAGAGTGACTCATTCAGATCTTTCCTGTCATCCCTGGTATCTACAGTAAGACGTCAATCATAATTGCAGAACCAGTTATAAACAGCCTCACTCTATGATCCTCCTGGCCCAGTGTTGGAGAGGCCCCTCCCTGCAGTGTTCTCACACTTTCCAGCCCTACACCCACTCAAAACCCTCACCTGCTTCTCCGGTCAACAGCCTACTCCAGGCAGCCCTGGCCACCAGTGCCAGTGTGGTCAGCTCAGAGGTCACTCTGTTACAGCCAGGCTGGGCTAAGCCTCACCTTAATGAGTCAAATTTCCATTAGGATTTTCCACAAATTTCAACTGTCAGTCACCTAAGTAAGAAGCTCTGAACAAAAAAGCAAAGCTCTTTGTGTGAAGTGTCAAATCCCCACACCCCCAATGCACATATTGCCCTTTGCCTATTGCTTGCGCCTACATGGCTTTCTCAGCGGCCACTAGTGCTAGGGATGCTCCCCACACAGGGCATAGACTAACCTCTACAGAAACTGACAGGCTCTTAGCTGCATCACAACCAGGCTTTTCCTCTAAGCCTCTGCCAGCCCTGCTCCCACCATCACGGAGCAGCAGGGACAGAGACCTGCACACTCCTCCTGGCCACAGCCTCCGCTGCTTCAGACTCACGGCCCCTGCTGAGGGTCAGGCCCCGGACTCTTCCCCCAGACTGGAGACTCTGCAACATCCGAGAACTCTTGCCTCCCCTACCTTAGGGGACTCGCGCCATCTTCCTAACTCCTGGGAAGTGCCTCCTTCTCCTCCCCACTGAGGCTTCCTCCTCAGCTGCCCACGTAGAACACCCCAAGGCTGGAGCTGCACCACTGGCCCCATGACCATGCACTCAAGGTAGTCAGGGCACCGCATAGTAACCCATATTTGAATGTGAAACCCAAGCCCTAAGTGGTTGTACAACTTGTGAAATGTCACACAGCAAATCAAGGGTCAGGGTCTGCACTCTTAACAACAAACTCATGAAAAAAATCCCCAACATCACAGCTGTCCAATCCTACTGTGTGGCCTCAAGCAAGTCACCTAATTCCAGTCTGTTCATCCTCTAAACTGCTCTGCAGCATCCCAGACAAGAGAACATTCAACACTGGCTTGATTACACTACTCCACCTTGTAATGAGGATATCACTTCAAAAGGCAGCCCATGAGTCCTATGGCCTGGAACTTCTTGTATGGAGTCTAAATCCAGGCAGCTCCTCCACTAGTCACTCTCAGGGTGACGGTGAGCAAGTCTCATAGGTCCCCTTCCTCTCTGTCCCTATGTCTCTAGTGAGAGCACTCTTCATGTGAGAATTGTAGAGTTTTGCAAACCAATTGCTTAAACCTCATTTCTACATCCCAGCCATCCTGTGCCAAGGTCTAACACACAAACAAGCTCACATGCCAGCTGCAGAACCTTTGGTAAGAGTGTGCTACACATAACTACCTGATGCCAGGAATGTTTGAGGAATTAGATGAGGGCACACCTGGATCTACAGCAGCATGATATGTATGTCAGGAAGGGCCAGGTAGGAGAAAAATGTAGAGTTCAGTGAGCTGAGATCACGGGAAGAACAAGAGATCTGAGAGGTGACCAGGAGAATAAGTTTTCAGGAAGTCACAGAAAACGTAGGTAATTCTCTGGATCTCCAAGGGAATTGGTGGATGGTAATGTCTATATTACTTGAATTCCAAAGGGCAGGACACCTCAGTTGAGAGAGGGTCATGTGAAGAATACATTTATTGGATATCTACTCTATGCCAGAGGCTTTCCATCTGTTCTTTCAACTAATCCACAATATATGTTTAATTAAATCCTCGAAACACCATATTATCTAAGCATTCATTCACTAATGAAGGAGCATCCTGAAAGTCCAAAGAGATGAAATAACTTATCCAAGGTCATATTTTACATAAATGGCAAACTGGTCACAAGCTGACAGTATCATTCCAGCCATGGACATGCTCTAGAGGAAAAGGAGGGTGTCGATTCTGAGAAATTCAAGTCACAGCTGTGAAAGACCCTGGCAAGAGAGAGATTGGCCACTTTATCATGTGAGGGGAACCTGCATCCCCAGGAGGAGGGCTGGATGTTTAGGTAAAGGAGAGTCTGGAGAACAGGATCTGAATTATGGTCTTTACTCTGACCACCATGTCTGGGTGAAAGAGAAGAGCCACCTGCCCAGCCATGAATGTGTTGTAACAGAGCAGCCGGGCAGCCCTAGAGCTGGACTGCAAACAGAGGAAGACAGCAGCAAGTGGAGACCAGTCATCACTATCTGTTTTTTCTTCCTTCTTTCCTCCTCTATAATTCAACTACTTATTTTCTGATTTAAAAAATTTACACTTAGTATTTTTATTAAAAATAAACAGAACTAAAACTTTAAAAACTCATAACAGGATGATGTTTAGTTTCAATGGGTCATTCAGGGAAAAGTATATAAATGCTGAATAACTTTAACCATAATTAGAAAATAACTAATAAATTTGCAATGAGTATTAAAATATGAAGGGTGAAAATGTCAGAGTAAGGAACTGCAAAAACTCTCTTCTCCATAAAAGCAGTGAGAAAACTGGCCTACCTTTTAGAAAACTTTTTCAGAATACTGAAAATTAACTACTGGCTTGCAGTAACCTGAGGAGCATTTATTCAGGAAAAGTGGCTTAACCCCAACAAGAACAGGGAGCCATCTTGTGTTTTAACTTTTCCTAGTCACTTCTCTGCTCTCTGGCAGTGCTGTACACTTGAAAAATAGATGTCTGTATTCTTGGTGAACTCCAGCAGCCTTGAAGCCACCAGAGACAGCCCTTTCAAAGCCTCATTCCCAGTAAATTGTTAGGATTTGACATGTCTAGTGGTACCCATGAAGACCATACTTTAAACAGAGTCTATATTTGACTTAAACTTGGAGCTCTCCCACTATGAACAGCCCTTTACCCAGCAGAATTTGACAAAAGCAATTACAGGCAATTGTTTAACTTCAGGGTTTCCTGAGATAGAGAATAACAATTGAGACAAACAGACTAATTAAAACGTTGTAAGGAAAACCTGGGGAATGAGCTATCCATAGAGGCTTTGAAAAGCTTTGACATATGCCTGGAATTTAAGTCTAAGCACATGCATATGGATGTGGGCATGTCAGAAAAGGCCTGAGAAGGCCTTCATCCTTACCTATGGCTAAGATTGGGGCTCTGGGCAAGCGGAAATTGAAGTCTAACAGCACTGCCTGGATGAGTATGGAAGACAAGACCAACACGCACAGAGACTTTCTCTCAGCAAAGACTGAGAGACTCACTAGGGTGAGGCATTTAAGGAAATCTCTGCACAACATTAGCAGTCTACTAGATTAAATGAGCAGGAACTTTAGTAGACAAATACAACAAAGAATGCAAATGAGCATCATTAGTTCAGAAATAAACTAAACAAACAAGAAAAGCTACAACATTCAGCAACAACTACAAGATCTGGAAAGGGAAAGAATCTGATTTTCAGAATCGCCACATTATACTATTTTAAATGACCAGTTTCTGACCAAAAAAAAATTCATAAGATATGCAAAGAAACAGGAATATAGGATATATTCACAAGGGGGGAAAAACAATATCCCTGTAGGAACATAATCATTGCACTTACTTGACAAAGAATTTAAATCAGCTATTTTCAATATGTTCAAAGAACTAAAGGAAATCATGTATGGAGAACTAAAGAAAAGTAATCAATGTATCAAATAGACAATACCAATAAAGATATAGAAGCTGTAACAAGGAACCAAGCAGAAATTCTGGAGTTGAAGAATACAACAACTGAAGTGAAAAATTCACTGGAAGAGCTCATCAGCAGCTATGAACAGACAGAAAAATAATCACTGAACTTGAAGATATGTAAGTTTAGATTATTCAGTCTGAGGGATAAAAAGAAAAAATAATAAAGAACAATAAAAAGACATTCAGAGACCTACTGGACATCATCAACCATAACACTAAATATCTAATGGATTTCTAGAAATAGAGGAGAAACAGAAAAGAGCAGAAAAAATTTGAGAAATAATGTTATCAGTAAATTTCTCAAATTTTATTTTTTTAAAACACTTTAAACTACAATCAAGATACTCAGTGAGCTCCAAGTAGGTTAAACTCAAAGAGATCCACATTGCAGAGATCCATATATCAGAATCAGATTACCAAAAGATTAAGAGAGGTCTGGTTCCAGATAGTGATATAAGAGGATACTGAAGTCATTTCTGCCCGGGGGCACACCAAATCGACATCTACACGCAAAATAACTTCCTCTGAAAAAGGATCAAACCCTAGCTGAGCATCTCCTTCACGTTGGGTGAAGGAGAAAAAGATCCATATAGAATTGAGTAGGAGAGGCTGAGGCACAATCTCACCATAGACCCCACTACTGATGTGGTAACTCTCAATCAGAAGGGAACTCACAACCCCGACCTTCTCCCTAAGGAGGGAAGAGTTTGAACCTCACCTCTGACACCCCAACATTTAAGACCTGCACCTGACAGACAAGCCCCCAAATGCCTAACTGTGAAAGCCAACAGGGCTTGCATCTATGAGACCCACAGGCAATAGCCAACTGAGGAACACTTCTTAAAAGGCTTGTGTGTGAGGACTCACACCCCTCAGGGCCCAGTACAGAGGCAGCCAACTGAAAAGTGCACAGACTTTCTCTGAAAGAGGCTTATTTGCTGATCTTAAAGCAATGGCCCAAGGGGAAAGCATCTAATTTAATACGCATCTAGGGGCTACCGTAACACTCTTTAAAGACAGAGGCCAGCAGGCACCATTTTTGTGCTTTCCCTCTGCCTCACTCAAGGTTGCCAGTATTTTCCAAAAAACAGGTTGTACACTCATCTGGCACACCAATTTTTGCAGCTGCCACCCAGGGGAGACCTCTAGATCGCCTGGCTCTGATGGTCAGTGAGACTTACTCTG